TTCGGCTTGGGAGTGCATAGTCAAGCTTATTATCCTTGTACCACGGTTCTCCCTTGGCGGTCGCGTGAGACTGTCACCACACCGGTCAGAGAGGTAGCTATTGCGTTTCTTGGGTCGTCATACAGACATTTCATCCGACTAGACATGTCATCCGATTTTCCAGTGTCACCGATTATACCTCGGTGGTACACCATTCGCACAGCGAGCGTAGAGGGTTGGGATGCGCTATATCATGACCGGATCCACGAATGGAACACCCTAGCTGCATTTTAGTATTTCATGTTTACATTCTTCCTATGTAATCTTATTTGTACGTTGCTCTTTTAATGAGAACATTAATCTTTTATATTGTATTGCTTACTGCATTCTATATGTTGCATGGGTAAGTTGCGCGGATCCACGAACGGTTATATCAAAATTTAAAAACAGCAATGATAATATGTTTAAGTTGGAAGCTAAAAGAACAATCTAAAATGTTACAAACTTACAACATAATGTCCAATTTAATAAATTAAAACGATAATATTTAAAGTGCTCTATAAATAAAATGACAAAACCATCAGTAATCCCTCCTCGACGACGACTCCCACTGCGCAAGGGTCTGTTCCAGACTATCAACAACAGCTCTCACTGTTGCACTCATGCTGTCCTTCTCAAGAGAGAGTTTCTGTACGTCCTGCATTATCTTTCCCATCCACTGCATACAACAAAAAATAAAAGATGAAATACAATAACAACATATAAAACTTAATTAAAAGACAACGATAAATATAATATGAGACATACCGCTTTCATGGCAGTAGGCGGTGGCACATAATCATCATCGCTGTGGTCGAGATCTGCGATCAACCTCGGGTGCGAATACCGGTTGAACCATTCCATGTAGTAATGGTCACACATGGGAGGAACCCAGAGGGCGGCCGCTGCAACTCCGCAGTCCATAAGCGGGCCACCATCGGAAACTGGTCCCACGTCCCGGTCATGATATCCGGCCATTGCACGACGTAGTCCCTCGACGATGCAGGTCGGACCGCCTTCATCGGGCATGCCGGGGGAGGAGGGACAACTTGGACAAATCCAAGCTGGCGAAGACAACGCTGGGGCATGTACGCCTTGACGATCTCACTATACTGAATGAGTCCCGTGTACAGGGTCCTGGGTACCCTAACACTAGGGTTCGGGCCAAAAGGCATCCAGTTCACCTGCACATAGTTTTAAAATTTAATAACATGAATATAATATGTGCAAATAATAAAATGTAGAAACAATTTATAAACGTTACCTCTAAGGGGGACAGCCTGTCCAGCAATAACCGTATCGATCGGAGGCGGTCAACGGACTTCTTCTCCGAGCGCGGACTCCACGCACAAGCACGCGGCATCCCCTCATCAATAGGAACCGGGTCACGATGTGGTCGCAATGCGGGAAAGTACTCGTATATCCAGGTCTACAATAGAGTCAGACACCCAGTGATACGTGCCGCGTCAGCCCGACTCGCAAATCCTAGTTGGCGATACACATACGCCAACGTAGCCGATCCCTAGGAAAAATGGCCTACACTGTCGGGGTCACACGCCTCTACTATGTCGCGTGGCCTGAGCTTGTTTCCGCCGCTCTTATCCGGAAACAAGGTACATCCGAGGAGTAGAAAAACATAAGCACTCAGCTGTGCGTCGTGCGTCCTACGTGCACTGGGGTACAAACACCGCTGCAACACGGATGCGATCTTCACACCGCCGTGTTCCCAAACATCAAGCGCCTCGGTGTACAGTGCAGCCCTGTCCACCGCCAACAACTCCGCCAGCAAATTTGCCTGATCCGCATCAGCCACAGCACAAAGTCGTTTACCCTCAACACGAATCCCCAGAATGGCCTTGACGTCATGTAACATGATCGTCATCTCACCGAACGGAAGGTGGAAAGAGTTTGTATCCGGCTGCCATCGCTCAATGAAAGCCGTGATCAGCGTACTGTCAATCTTATCGTGCATGGTGGCAGGAACGTGATTCACCCCAGTGCCCTCCAGTCGCTCGAACATCTCGCTCTCCGCCGGCCAAGCCTCAGCCCATGTACGCAAAAAGCTACAAGTCTTTTCCCGGGTATGACATTTCAACAACCCCGTAACTGAAGGCCTCTCCTGGTCCTCCCAAATACGGGCAGCTATGTGTCCTAGAAAGCTAAAAATCACACTCCCGTCAACAGGCCCACCGGGCACCTCACTCCTAACAACCCAAGAATCATTAACGACCCTCGACCGTTTCCTGCTTTCCCCAGATACAGTGGACGCAGATGATGTGCCAGATCTACTAACAAACCTACCACCCCTACCCTTACGCACCTCCACCATATGTGTCTCGTACATGTCATCAACCCTCTGACTAAATGGACCGTAATCATCATACGGTCCACTGCCATCGTCCACATCCTCATCCTCATCCGCACCCTCCTCCTGCTCCTCCTCTTGGTCACCCTCCTTAGCATCATCATTATCGTCATCGTCATCCTCATCCCGACGGTGGATCCGTTCTCTACGAGCCGAGGCCGAAATACCACGGGATCTAACATGTCTATGCCCCGACCTCTCCACTGAATAGCTTCTACTAAGAAGCTCTACATTCTTCCCCGCACCATGACGACGCAGTGGATTCTACAAAAAATTTAAAAATATATAAACATACAAAAAATTATACGAAAAATAGCTACCACTACCCAAATCAAATAAACTAAAAACATACTAACAAATTAACATAATAAAGAAACTAACAAAACACTTAAATAAAAATAATAGAATAAAAAATACACTAAGAAATGAAATAAAACCAACACATAAGAATATATATAAACATAAATAATTCATTCCCAATTAAAATAAATTAACTAACCAAAAACAATATCAATAATAAAAATTAAAATAAATTAACTAACCAAAAACAATATCAAATGAACAAAAAAATTTACTAACAAATTGAAATTGAGAATAAAAAAAAAAATGTACAAATAAAACAAACAAATAATTGTAAACAAAATATAAACATAGAAAAAATAGTTGTATTTTTAAAATGTACAAATAAAACAAACAAATAATTGTAACAAAATATAAACATAGAAAAAATACAACAAAATTTATAAAAATAAACAACAAAATATAAAAACAATTGAAAAAGATATTACACAAAAAAAAAATTTAAAAAAATATTTTAATACAAATAAAAAAAGGGGGGGGGCGCCTTGGCTGGACGCCCAGCCAGCGGTGGTGGCGCCAGCTGCAGACGCCGCAACCAGTGGGCTGGCGCCTGGGCTGGACGCCATAGCCACGGCTGCGGCGCTTTGAATAAACGCCACAACCGTGGCTATGGCGTCCAGCCCAGGCGCCAGCCTAGTGGTTGCGGCGTCTGCAGCTGGCGCCACCACCGCTGGCTGGGCGTCCGGCCAAGGCGCCCCACCTCCGTCACGACGGTTTTCCCTTTTTTTTTTTTTTTTTTTTAAACAAATTGTACCTTGCCTCCTTGAGACCTCCTTCCCTCCGCCGCCGCCGCCAATTCCTTGCCTTGCCGCCTCGACATTGCCGTTGTTTGAATATTTTTTTTTTGAGATGTTGAAAGAAGATGAGCGATGAGAGTGTGAGTGTTTTTTTTAGGTCAAGGGCAATATTGTCAAATCAAGTGAATTTTGTGGGCTTTATGTGGAGATTTGCGGGCGATGTTTAACAAATCCCCCCGAGAATGTCTCGACTTGAAAATGACCAGACCTGATTATAATTCGCAAATTATTGACTTGAACCAAACCCGACTCAATCCCGAGAACGACCCGACCTGATTCTAACTCGCAAATTATTGACTTCAACCGAACCCGACTCTAACCCGAAAACTACTCTAACCTGTTTTAACCCGTGAAAACCCGAATTAAACTTGACCTATTGTTGACCCGACCCGAATGTAACCCGACCTAAACCCGACCCAAACCCGATAAGAAGTATGACCTGACGTGACCTGACTCAAGCATGACCCAACCCAAACCCCACCCGCATAGGTTATGGAATTAATCTAAATTGACCCGACCCGAGTTGACCCGACCCACTCTTACCCAACCCGTTTATCTGAATTGACAGCTCTAGCAACACACAATTGTCTCCCCTAATTGGCACTAAGGGCACATACAATCATCAAACAATAAGCTTGACACAACAAAACTCTGAACATCACTAATAAGTGGGAAAATACAAATAAATGGAGTGTGAAGCTTAAAACATAATAGTGATTTAGAGTCACAAAACAACAATTCATCCAACAAATATGTTGTGTGAAAATTTTGAGTCGATCATACGAAATTTGACCTTTAATCGAGCAAATAATTAGCAACTCAAAAGAAAACGAAGAACCTTTCCTCTTTAGTCTCTACCTTCTCTTTATTTGCAAGTGTGTTTTGTTGATTTAAAGAAGTTTCCAACAAATCCAGTATATCCTTCCAATATTGTGTGTTGAAACAAGAAATTGGTCAGTTGATTACTTGACCGATTTTCTTTCCTGTCAGTTCGAGTTTCAATAAGGACAGGTCAGCGAGGATGGGGCAACCTGCAGTTAAGCCGATTCCTTGTCTACGCCACTTTCTTCTTACACGTCGGTTTTTTCCCCGACCAAAGTTTTTACCTATGCTTTTTTTCTTTTTTTTTTGGGGTTTTTTTTTTAAGTTATACCCCAAACTTTTTCGTTTTTTAAGCTGTGTCCATCCTTTTTCAAACGTTTAAGATGAGCCCTCAACGTCACTAGTTTTTATTAACAATAACCTTTACGTTAATAATAACCTTTTTTATTATTTTATTTTTTAAATTTTTAAATTTTTTTAAAGTGTTAAACCAATTAGAATGACACACATGTCAAATAAATAACGCCACGACATCATTGTCGATAAAATAACTTAACTTTCGTTAACGGATATGGCTGTCAAAGGGTATTGTTGATAAAATATCATGAAGTGGAAAACACATCTTATAACTTTGAAAAAGCATGGGTATAACTTAAAAATTCAATAACCTGAGACATAGCTTAGAAAAACCCTTATTTTTTTTTTTTAAGAATTTACCTGTGTTTCTTAATATGGGTTTTTGAAACACAATACAAAATTTGAAACATTGCTCCTACTACATCTTATACAACCGTTTGAATGTTTAATATCCACTCACAAAGTCACAAAAGGTCAAACCCCACTTAAAGGGCATTCTAGTAATTTCACTTCCCTCCGATTGCCGTTGCCAAACCGTTTAAACGTCGCCGTCGTTTCTCTCTCTTCCCCCATTATTTTACCCCTAATTCTTTTCAAATCGAAACCCTAATTCTTCGGCAAATCGAAGTTTCAGACATCCAAAAATTAATCAAATTTCTTCAGAGGAGAGAGGAAATGGTGGAAACCACATTGTCGGGATTACAAGATCATCTGAAATTGGCCAGAGAATATGCAGTTGAAGGGCTTTATGATACTGCTGTTATCTTCTTCGATGGCGCCATTGCTCAAATCAACAAGTAATTTCCCCTTTTCTGTGCCCTAATTTTTGTTGGATTTTAACTTGAGCTTCAATTCTTTATTTTTTATTTCGTTTTGATTTTTCAATTTGATGGTTGGTGAAGATAATGTTGAAACTAAATAGATAATTTTAGCTACTTTGTGAATTAATTTAGAATTGCATTGCTTTTATACATTTTTTGGATACTACTATTTTTAGCTATTTTCCATTTTTTGGAGCTATTTTTTAGGGAAATGACGAAATGAAGGTGTGTAATTATAAATGTTTAAGTGTTAGAAATGTGTAATTTGAGTTAAGTAAGTTTCCGCAGCTGAGTTTGGAGATCAAGTGACCATTTTTTTTCGTGGGTTTGAATTTGTTTCGGCGAATGCTGTTCAGAAAATTGGGTTTTCTTCATGTGATGAGTGATTGTGGGTCTTGATCTTGTTATCGACGGAAGCATTGTGTGTATGGATTTATTTGGGGACGGAGGAGTGGGGGTTTGTTGGGGGGGGGGGGTGAGAGTTGTTTCGATGTGCTTTTTGGCAGACTTTACAGCTCGAGTTTGTTGACACTAGCTTGGTTCTTGTATTGAGAGAATTTGGAGCTGAGAGAAATTGGGAATTGTAGATATACATTGCTACTGTTAGCAATGGTTTTATGATTGATCTCTTTGTTGGATATTTTCTCTCTAAAAGAGTGTATGGCATTCTTTTGTGTTCAAGTGAAAGTGTTGCAGAATATGAGAAGATCATAGTTCATACAAACAGCTGTTAAGTATCGTGAAATGGGAGAAGCACAATTTATAGGCCTTACTACAAGAAGAGATTTATCATGTGGATGATTAAATTTTAATGTGACAAATTGACAGGACCCTTTGTGATTTTCCTAAGACTAGTTGATGATGATTCGATGCTAACTTTACTTTTGGGAGAGTTTCATTGTGCACGAAGTTAATCTTGCATGATGTTTTCATTAAAGGATTAATCATCAAGAATCTTTTGAAGAGTGCAAGGCTTTATCAAGGAGTCTTTTGTTAGGCACCTAGTAGTGGTGTAGTATTATGTATGTTTAGTGACATGCGTTTAAAAGATCAGGGGTACTTATGTCAAATGAAGAGGGATCTATTCAAGTATCTTACATCCAATGTAAGGGTGATTTTGATGAATTATTGATTATTATATGATTCCAGTACTTGTCTTGACACAAGCTGACTTGGATGTGAATTAAAAAAAAAAAAAAAACAATAAGTTTTGGAGGTTGAAACAAATATGTTTTGTTTTATACACAATTATGCAACCTAAAATTAAGATATGTGAGACAAGTTTAAGATGCTTTGATCATATCATAGGAGGCAACTAGCCAACTAGATACACTAATCAGGAAATTTGAGATCACATATGCTATATGAGAAAGAGAGATAGTCCTAAAAGGAACTAGATCGTAGTCATCAACTCGACATATAGGTTCTTGGTCACGAGAGGTTACATGGTTCGTTCAGATCTTATTAAGGGATCTTGATAGGATGTTAAGATGTTGGTTGCTACCAGTAATAATTTCCTAAAACCACCTTGTCTAAAACAAACTAGATCGTAGTTTCTTTTTCTTCGCCTTCTTTTCTAGGATTTGTTTTGTGGGTTCTCCTGAAAGTTGAAAATTGTCTTCTTAATTAGACTATACAGACATACAGAGGTAAGCCTATGTATAATATTTTTTCTTCACTATGAGCCCCTATTTAGATTGATGTATGACCAAGGAAAGACCAGTTTGAAATTTTGAGAGCGAGTATCATTTTAAGATGAAAGATAATTGCTTTTATCTAGAAAAATGTGGTGGCCATGATGAAGTAGAGCCAAGTCATTTTCAATTCAATCTTCACAAAAGTTTTTTTTTTTTGACAAGTGTTGTGTCTGGTTTCATGTTAAAAGGATGTGTGTGTGTGTGTGGGTGGACCTGTGAATAGAACTATACTTACTTATTTTATATATAAGTTGAGGCAGCCATTTGATGCACTGTGAATAGAACTATACTTATGAATCTTATATAAAAGTCGAGGCTGCCATTATATCCAAGGTTTATACCATTAATTTGTATTATAATGGTTCCTCTGGAATCTGAACCATGTTTTCATAATTTTGACAATGCTTAAATGGCTATAGGCACTTAAACACTCTTGACGATCCTATGACTCGTTCTAAGTGGATGAATGTAAAGAAAGCTGTCATGGAGGAAACTGAAGTTGTAAAACAGTTAGATGCGGAGAGAAGGTCTTTCAAGGATACTCCTGTGAGTCGACGCCCTACTTCACCACCAATTTCTACCAAGTCATCTTTTGTCTTCCAACCATTGGATGAGTACCCTACTTCTTCTTCTGGTCCAATGGATGATCCTGATGTTTGGAGGCCACCAAGTCGTGATACGAATCGAAGGCCTACAAGGTCAGGTCCAGCAGGCACAAGAAAGTCGGCTCAAGATGGGGCTTGGGCTCGTGGGGGTCCAACAAAACCTGGTACAACTGGCCGGGGAGCAAAAGCAACTGGTTCTGCAAAGTCTGGGGCCTCTGGTCCTGGAGCTCGTTCATCTGCTAATGGAAAAAAGGCTGGATCTGGGAAATCCAGCAAGGGGGATGCAGCGGTAAGTTTTGTTGATATCATTCAATATCAAATTTTCTATTAATATGCAGCTTTAGATGTTTTCATCTTGCTTAAATTTGCGAATCTTTGATTATCAATGTATTGCTTGACCCTGGGCCTTGGCATGCTCAATTTAGTAACAGTTGCAGCTTTTAATTGGTATGCGTGAAGGTAAGTTTTGTTTATTTGTAAAGGTTCTTTAGTCTTCTATACTTTTTTCAATTACATCACATTCGAAACCACGCTGTAGCTGGTTTGTTCTCTAATCTTTTTGGAACCTGCTGTGTGGATTGCTTTCTTCGCTTTTATCTTCATTTCATTCGTTTTGTTATTCCTTCGATTTTTGTGATCGTCAATTATGTATTTTCCAAAGCCATGTCTTAATCGCTTTTACTTTCCTCATTCTAGAGATTCAAGTGATCTGCAAGAGCTACTATGCCTGCAAGTCAAGTTGATATCCTGGCCTTCTGTTTTGGGGTTTTCACAATGTCCAAAGGGGTTGGATGCCTTAGATGAACTTTTCAAATATCCTTTTCCTGAAAAGCACATGCTTAAAGCAGGCTGTTAAATTTTCTTCTTTCTTATTGATGGGGGGATTTGCATGTCTTGGTTGGAGGAGTGGTCTGATATGCCCATTTTGCTTTCAATGGCCCATATTGCTTTCAGTGGCCCATATTGCTTTCAGTGGCCCATATTGGTGTTTGTGTTGCTCAAGTGAAAGAGAGGGATTAAAGAGGAATGATTTAAAATCATTATATGTTTGATAAGGAAAGTGGGTTATACAATAACAAATTTTGGATGTTTTGTTAGGGACTACTAGATACAACTCCCTAGCTTTTATAACACCTGCACTTCATTTGATCCAACATACTGTAATGATTTCCCTCAAACCCCCAATCGCTTCTGTTTTCAATGCCATCTCTCACTGACAACCACTTTGCCACAATCACCTTAGCCCATAATTATGTTTAAACCTTTTCTATTATCAATCTTATCTTGATCTCTCTCCAATGTTTCTAATTGACCCATGATCTGGTATGGATTATGCAATGCTTGTTGCACCCACCAATCTCTTCTTTCCCGCTGCCCCCCGACTCTTCTTGATGGGAGCAGTCTAAGGCCTTTGCTCGAAGCAATGATGAAGAATATTGTGATGGACATATGATAGAAAAAGTGGCAATGTGTAGCTAATAGAAGGGTGGTCGTCATTGAATGTAGTGATTGTTTGGTTGAACAAGGAAAGTAATATTATCAAGGAAGATGTCCTTCAATGTTTCATTTTCTAGGTATTGTTGAATGTTGTTTGGTTGAGTGTAGGAAGTTTCTGATTAGCCACAAAGGGAGTTCCTATTTCTCTAGTGTTTGGTTGACCTGATAGTACTGGACCGCTGATTGAGATTTACTGGTGAAAGAAATTGAGAGTTCTTTGATACAAACCTGGACAGAGGAGTTTTATGTCACTTGAGTGGCTTATAAGTCTCTAAACTAAAGGCACAGAAGGCCACAGGGTTCCTTTGTCCTGAAAGATGGAAACCAATAAATTGTTGTGTTTGCTTAATTATGGTAGTTGGAGTTGGACTATATCGTCCATCTTGGTTAAGCAGCTTTTACTGCATGTATTTCTCAATAGACCAAATTTGAAATATAATGAAGTCATTTTCTATTTGTACTAGATTTTGACAGTTCTGGCTGCCCACTTGATTCAACCTAAACTTATGTTTATTGGATTTAGGTTTTGTTTTACCTTTTACTCCTTACTGATTTGAAGAACTGCAGGGTGCTGATTCTGAAGACGGAAAATCAAAAAGGGGGCTATACGAGGGCCCTGATGAAGATTTGGCTGCTATGCTTGAAAGGGATGTCTTGGATTCTACCCCTGGAGTAAGATGGGAAGATGTAGCAGGGTTAACTGAGGCAAAGAGACTACTCGAGGAAGCTGTTGTTCTTCCTTTATGGATGCCCGAGTATTTCCAGGTATTTTATCTTGTTTTTCACTTTACCTATCGCTTGAAAAGTTGAATGTCTTAAGTACATTTTCTTGTGGCTCTTTTGAGTAACGTCAACAAATATCACCCCATCTAATTTCTTATTTCTTAGTTTCTTACTGCATAAGTTAAGGCTAATGTTTACATAGAATTATACAATCTGTGAACTCTATAAGAAAAATCTTTGCTAAAACGTGGACTTCTCTTTTATTCTGCAGGGAATCAGAAGACCCTGGAAAGGGGTACTGATGTTTGGACCTCCTGGTACGGGAAAGACACTTTTGGCTAAAGCTGTTGCCACTGAGTGTGGGACAACGTTTTTCAATGTCTCTTCTGCAACCTTGGCTTCAAAATGGCGTGGAGAAAGTGAGCGTATGGTTCGCTGCTTGTTTGATCTTGCTAGAGCTTATGCTCCAAGCACAATCTTTATTGACGAGATTGATTCCCTCTGCAATGCTCGAGGGTTAGTTAATGTTTTCTTGTATATGCTCTATGTGTATGCTGAACTGTCTGTGAGGTTTCCAGGGAAAAAAAAAAAAAAAGCTTTATAAAACTCAACATTCTTATTTATTTTTCTTCAATAGATCCTCTCTTTAAATGTTAGGCTACACAGGAATATACACAAACTCTAGAACCTCTGCTGACCTGCTTCTCTCGCACATCCCTCAGGAATATGTGCAGTTTTTAAATTGTTTTCTTCTCATCCCTTGATAATTATTTCTGCTTGAGTGTGCGATTCACCCATCCCTTTATCTTAATTCTTACAAGTAATTCCAAAAGTTTGGTTGTAGTACATGGTGTATAGAAAAGGTGTATGTCTACACTGATATGGCTTTTTATCTTGCTTTTTTTTCTTTCTTTGTCAGGGCTTCAGGAGAGCATGAATCATCTAGAAGAGTTAAGTCTGAGTTGCTTGTTCAAGTTGACGGTGTAAATGTTAGCTCTTCTGGTGAAGACCGTAAGATAGTCATGGTTCTGGCAGCCACAAATTTTCCATGGGATATCGATGAGGCACTAAGGTCTTACTAAACTTCATCCTTTGTATATTGCTTGACTCCAGATTTTTAAACTTTCAGTTTACCTGACTATTGGTGGTTGTTGTAACACAGGAGGAGATTGGAAAAGCGTATTTATATTCCACTTCCAAATTTTGAAAGCCGAAAAGAGCTTATAAAGATTAATTTGAGAACTGTTGAGGTAAGAATCAGGTCCTTTCTCAAATGATTGCTCCTAGGCTCTAATACTCTGGGCCTCTGGTGTACACCCTAACTCGCTTGGCTTCCTTAAATTTTAACATGACTCAAGCACGACAGGAGTTGATCTCTTGCTTGCATGTTGATTATTTTGTAATATGGAAAATAATAATGTTGCACCTGTAATCATGAAAACTTTAAGATATGAAATATAATGCAGTTTCAATTTGTTAAGTGAAATTATGGAAATATACAACTATAAATACCACGGGTACATACAAAGTAAAGGAACTGAAAAGTTTAAATTAGTTAACAAATCGACAAGTGAAACCGTCTGATCATGATTTTTTTTTTCTTTTTTCCTTTTAACATGGAGGTTCTTAGTGATTTTACACTTGAAAATACATCTTTCTATGTGCTGATTTTACTAACAAGGCTTGACATTGTTTTTATAGATGGCTGCTGATGTGGATGTTGATGAAGTGGCTCGGCGAACAGAGGGATACAGTGGAGATGATCTGACAAATGTTTGTAGGGATGCATCCTTGAATGGCATGAGGCGTAAAATAGCAGGCAAGACTAGAGATGAGATAAAAAATATGGCTAAAGATGACATCTCAAATGACCCTGTTGCAATGTGTGATTTTGAAGAAGCATTGAGGAAAGTTCAACCCAGTGTCTCTGCTACTGATATTGAGCGCCATGAAAAATGGTTACATGAATTTGGATCAGCTTAGAAGAATTGCTCTCAAAGTTCAGCAATTACTGGTCTTTTATTCACAATTCTTTCGTCCATCTGTTGGGGTGGGTTCATCGTTGCACTCCTCTGCTGCTAGTGTGAAAAATGGTCTGTTTTCCTTGTATCTGTATCTCATGTACCATAAGTCATGTATTTTCTGCCGACCAAAATGTCTGTAAATCCAAAATTGTGATTAGTTGGTGAGGGGATGCCAGCCATTGTGTGACCTGCAAGCATTTTTGCCTGCTTGCTTCTTCTGTTGTTATGTTTCCTTGATCTGTTGTGGGTGACAAAGATTAGTGAGAGTTCAAATTTTATCAATCAGGTTAACCCTTTGTGGGTATTTCGCGCCCAGTTTTAATTTTTCTGCTGCTGGGGTGCTCTTGGATCCTGGTATATCTGTATAAATATGGGCAGTGGGATCAGAGGCGCAAAAGCTAAGATTTCATGTAAATTGCTATGATTTGTAGTGGTGAGTGAACAATGATATCGATCTTCCAAAAAAAGAAAAGAACATTTGTAGTGTGGTAAGTTAATCCCACCATTTGATTATTCATGAATAATTTGAACGCAGTAGTGATATTTCTCTCTTTCAATAGTCTGACATGCATCGTTACTACATTCAACAGAGCAACAAAGACGAGTAAGGTAACACTTTGAATTATTTGAAGAAGCTACCAAAACTTGATGTGAAGTTGATTTACTGGTATTACTCGTCAAAATTATTGTTAGATCTCCATTTCTAACTAGTGTTTTGACCTGATCAAAATGTTACTTGCTATTCGCGACTTCAAAACTGAACACGGAACTTCATAGTTAACACTTGTGTTGTGTTTATGCTATAACTATGCCACCCAAGAAACTAAACACGTCAATTGTATCATCTTTTCATAATTCATACAGTATTCCAAGTACAAATGTGTAGATCTACCAAAATTAGTTTGGTGTCATTCATGCAATAAGCGAGAGGTGGCTTAAAATTACGAGAAGGCGATGACATCTCAGGATACTTGCTAGTATTTGTGTTGAGTTTTATCGTCAAGTACTCTTGGTTGGTGTTTTTGTAGTAAAACATTTGTCATTGAATAGGCTCCTTTATCAAGCTGCTTAATACATACGATAGTGCCAACTCTCCTAGCAATGTTTTCATTACATTCGTGGCTTGCGTTAGCTGGATCGGATTTATTTACTCGTTAGGGTATCAAACTTTTAGTTCAGTATAGTCTTTCTCCTTTAAAAAATCGCCTAGTTGGTTTCTAGTATGGTCACATGTGCTTTATTTAAATCCGACTTGATACCAATGCTATCATATGAACCTGTATTAATAACAATCTTATCAAGCTTGCTTGGTGTGTAATTGATTGGGTATTCATCTTGATCTTATAATATATCCGTATGTAACTTTGATGTCTTTGAGGTCAGAAGATCGAATCTCCCCTATTGCAGTATTTGTGTTGAGGATCCAACTTATATTATACAGAGTTCTTTTCTTGGGCTACTATTAAGAAGTTTTCATTCTTACAATTCAAAACAAAAAATGGAATAGAAAATTCCACCACTGATTTCATATGTTAGTCTCGAGTCTCAACTAGCTGCTACTCTCTCTGTTTCTTAACATTTGTTCTATTTAACTTTTTTCATAGTTTTAAGTGTAAATCTATGAATAATAATATGATGATGTAACCTACCTTGAATTCATAAATTGAGACGTATCTAACATTTGAATATGTTTTTTTGATACATATATCGACAAATAATCATTGACATATTGGAACATAGGGAGTATAATCCAAGCAAAACCCGCCTATAGCTAAGTTGATTTTCTAGAACTTGAAAATGAAGGAATCCAATCTAAAAAGGAAAAGTTTTATTTAATTTGGTCTGCCTGATTTCTGTATTCTTAGTGGTGGACAGGAGTAAGAAAGATGATTTAAATGGTGCTTACATTTCCCATAAAAAAATGTTGTCATGCTATTATACATAGAAACAAAAATGATAAGCCGTCCCATATTAATTTTGTCTTGATATTTGCATTGTCTACTAATGTATGTAATGGATCTGATCTAAGAATGTATTTGTTTGCTCTCATCATACATGTTTGTCTTGATATTTGTCTACTAATGTATTGAATCTGATCTCAGAATGTATTTGTTTGTTCTCATCATGTGATTCAGCAAAATAAATGATTTGGAGTTGTTTTTCAATAGTAGCAAAAGGTCATCTTGTTGTATATATGTTGCTTCAACGAATAGGAAATACGAAGTACTGTTGATGGACCATCTCAACTGAAAGCTTAAGTTGATGGTTAAGCCCTATAAATATGTTTTATACTCTATCTATCATGTTCCCTCACATGAGAGTCCATTGGGACTGAAGTGTAGATGCAGTATGGGTCATCCTCATACCTTGCGCTTAATATTCCACTTTGAAAGGAGAGGTGGATGAGATTCGAACACGTGTGTCACACTAGTTTTGATACCATGTTGATGGATTATCTAAACCAAAGACTTAAGCTAATGACTGAGCCCCATACTTATGTTTTATACTCTGTTATATACTACTAAAGATACTCCGTATTAGATTATACAATACATATTATAAGAGAGATAGAAAATAATATATTACACAATCACACTACAATTAAACTTTATAGAAATAAATATAACAGTAAATCTGTAAATAGATACAGAGTACTATACAAAATGAAATGCCACCTCAGGAAGGGAGATCCACATTATACTCCATATCTCTAGCAAAGTTTATACTCCATATACTTTGAACTCGTTCTTTTCAGCTTAATTTCAATTCAGTTCAGTTCAACTCCAATCAGTTTATTTCTGCTCAATTCATCTCAGTTTCTAATTTCCTTCTCTCATAAACAATTCATTTCATTTCAATTTAGTTCAATTCAATTCAGCTCCAATCAGTTTAGTTCAGTTCAGTTCAGTTTAGCTCATTTTAATAAATCAAATTATACCCTTATTATTATTAGAAAGTTGATATTTTAAAATTAATCTAGATGAATAAAATTAAATATTAGATTGCATTTATTTTTATTATCTACACATATATAAATATCAAAGTAAAAGAAGATCAAAGAGAAGTGTACATCTTGATAACAATAGCATAAAAGTCCAAATAATGCATTTAAAAAGAATGGAGGAAGTACATTTTAATTAATTTAAGCAAAACTTAGTCATGCTACAAGACAAAATAGTTCAATTGATTAATAACTTTTTTTGCTTTAATAGGATAAAGTTAAGGACCCACTAGGTTTCTTAAGTCAAAATTACAACAACTAATATTTTTTATAGTTGTTCAATGTACAGATGATTTGAATTTTTTTTTCAAGAATAATATACATAATTGAACCCGATGAGATCTTAATACTCAAAAGTTGATAGTAAGAATCGGTGGTGATGATATAGATCAAATGGTGTGTACGTAAACACTTTGAAAACTTTTCAATGCATGCATGTATCTCTATAGAAAGTGTGATACATTTTTTTGTGATATACTCCCTCCGTCCCCAAATGATAGTCACTTTTGAATGAAAATCACGGGAATTAAGGAGAAATAAATAAAGTACATGGGAACTAAATTTCAATCATGTGCAAAACAAAAAGAAGAGAGAGAAACTGATTGTCATTAAAAAGGGAGACAACTCATTCAATTAAGGCACAAGTACAAAGGCAAATATGAGAGTGTTTTGGGAAGCACAGATAATACATCCAAAAAAAATGAGGGTACATAGGTCATTTTGTGTTATTGTATGGGACCTAAAATTGTGAAATGTGACTAACATTTTGGGTGTCCAAAAATGAAAATAGTGACTATCATTCGGGGACATAGGGAGTATAATCTTGTTCAAATGTGTGTAAACACTTGAAAAGTTGAAAGATATGCAAATAGCTTCATACAATTTAAATAGTTAATGCAACTAGATTAATTTAAACGCCGGAGAAGATAAATTGAATGGATATCGTAGCTCATCAACATAATTTACCCTGCTTCTTCATACACAAAAAGGACTAACAATAAGCAATCAACCTCTGATAAACATAGGTTGTGACCTTTGTATTATGTTTATCACCTTTAATTTTTTATTGTTCGTTATTAAATTCATCATTATTATCATGATAATAGCTAAGTGATTATTTTCAATGATAATTCTTGCCCTTTTTCCTTCTCTCTTCTAATGAATTTATTCCTCAACTAACCACTTCATCAATAAATAACTTAATTCAACATTGAAAAGCATAATCTTTAGTGAAAACAAAAAAAAAAGTTTCAAAATGAAAAGATGAGAGGGATCAAGTAATGTTGATGTCCCCCAAAAATAAACATTGATCTTGATGTTGTCTTATTGAGAGGACATATATGAAAGCATCTTCTAGGTTAGGTTATATTTTTTGTAGAGTATGATTGGCATTTAGTGCCTAAGTGGAAAGTAATATCGAAAAGGATACCTTCCAAATATGGCTAAGCTACCTATATACTAGTACATTTATATACTCTCTTTAGACTATAGACCCTAAATTTCCATAATTCTTTTTGTAAGTTTATAAAAGTACCATCTAAATTGCTGTCGTTTTGACAATCACACATATTCTTCATTTTTTTTAAAATTTGTTAATTTAGTGTTATAGGTAGACTTATAGCTAGGTTTACGTCTTCATGAATCATATGATATAGAAAGTGGTGTTCTTGCTTGGATTCAACTTCCATATAGTCGTGTGCATGTGAAACATTACGGATCGTTGATGCAAAGTTTGCGGTAACGAAATGATTTATCCTCAAGCCGAATTGGGATAAAAAAAGGATATGCTTGTATATAAAAAGTACTTTGTATTTTTAATAAGCGCGTTTTGTGTGCAATTGGCCGTATTATGTGACCAATTGTGAAAAAATAAAATAATTTTTGTAATGCTAACCGAGTATATCATGTAATAGTGATCGAGCAATCCCTTTGTAATACTAATCGAGTAACCCTTATAATCTAACACTTACAAAGCAACTCATTTAATATTGAACGAGTAACCCCTAAGATGATTGGTTATAAGATGTGATCAGTCACATATAAAAGTCGGTGTTTTTTTTTTTTCTTTTAATATGATGTTGAAATCAATTATTTTAAAACCGTATAAAAATTTAATTTTGTATGACATACAATACCTATTGGGAATTTGGGACATTATTAAGTGTATGTTTACAAGGACTGCATATAGAAATAATTTGTAAATAAAACATGTCATTTAGATTAAACGTGGGGTCGACTTGTAGCCCAAATTAAAGTTAATAGAGCTTGGCTCAGCAGCATGCACTAATGTCTCAATAAACTTGATTTGTGTTTGACAATAATACTTGAAAATGAGCTCAAAGGGATTGACAAAAGTAGTAGTTGAAACGCAACGGGTACTACTGAACTTAAAAGGGTACATAATTAATTAAGGCCGCTATGTTCTTTAGAGTTGCTCTGATTTGCTGAAATCTACTCTACTCTGTTGACTCAATTTGCTTTGTTGAGTCCTGTTCTGCTTTGCATGTTGAAATTTGTTTTGCTCTACTCTGTCCAAAAACTCAAAAGAATCAGGCCTAAATAATATGTATAGAAGAATTAATTTTTTTTTATGAGTTGTGTTCTGTATTAATTGCTTTTGATCTAATATACATTATTTTTTTCAAGGTGTTTGCCAAAATTCCATAATATTCATTCATCTATGAAATAATTTATGTTATCTACTTCTTTTCACTTGAATTAGTTGTGAATTTCATTTGAGATCGAAAAACCAATTTATTGTTTGAGAAAATTAAAGTCGAAAAGATTACTAATTATTTTTTTAGAATACTTATTATATTTTCACTTAAATAATTATATTGTATGGAGTATAAACTATTGCAAAGTTACATTCATTTGAGCTTATCTAAATCTGTCGCTACTAATTTTAAATAATTAAGTTATTTTGAGCTAATTATAGATCGAGTTTTAATCTATAAGGGTGGTACCATACGATGGAATCAAGTGTATATAAATTTCACAAACTATTGGGTCAGTCAAGCGTGACCAAATAGTTGTGGAGGAGATGACGATGATGATAAAGACGACGATGATGATAAAGACGACAATGAAAGCAATGGTGGATCTCTTTCTCTCCCTGTAGGCGACGATGACGATGACAACATCAATGCGAAGGAGAGAAGCAAATTCATTTATGGCGGAAGAGAGAGAAAATTTAATTCTTGGATTTTTCGAAAAATGTCCAAAAAATTGAATTGAGGCTTTCTTATGTGATATATAATTGTTGAAATTGTTTGTCCCATATGAAGATATATGAGATAATATGCAGAAAACTTGTTCAGCAAGATGAAGTTTTAGAGAGAGAAAGATAGAGAATGTATTAAGGAGAAAAAATAGAGAGAAGTATATTGTGAGCATTACAAAAGCATGAGCTCAGAATTACAGAAATATATAGTACTAAGCTATTACAAGGGTAATGATGTCAGCACTCATAACAAACTCGTGTCTAAGTTTGTTATAGCAGGAAGTTTCCAGAAGCAAGTTAGTTATAAACCAACTTGATGATTTGGCAATCAGAGATAATGCTCAGGGAGGAAATAGCTGGTCATATTCCTCATCTTCAATACCCCCCCCCCCCCCCCCGCAAGCTTGAGGTGGTTGAATCAACCAAACCAAGCTTGGAACTAAGATAAGAATGTTGCTGAAATGATAAAGCCTTAGTCAAGATATTTGTAAGCTACTCTGTAGAAGGAAGATAAGTGAGCTCAATGAGACTTTCTAACACTTTTTCTCTAGTAAAATGGCAATCAATTTCGATGTGTTTAGTGCGTTCATGCATCACAGGATTTCTGCCAATATGAATAGTCGATTAATTATCACAAGAGAGTTTGTCAGGCTGCAAATCAAGAAAACCCAACTCAGTGAGCAATCTGACCAACCAAGCAACTTCTCCAGAAGCTGCAGCCATAGCTCTGTATTCTGCCTCAGAGCTAGATTTGGAAACAGTCCCCTGCTTCTTAGACTTCCATGAAATTGGAGAATTTCCCAGCATCATGATGTATCCTGTGACAGACCTTCTAGTATCAGGACAAGAAGCCCAATCAGAGTCTGAATATGCTTGCAATGTGAGCTGATCAATAGCCCTGAGTAAAATACCCTGCCCCAAAGTAAAAGCAACATATCTAAGAACATGATGCAGTGCTTCCATATGCTAAACTCGAGGCTGTTGCATAAATTGACTGAGAGTTTGCACAGCAAAAGCCAGATCAGGCCTTGTATGAGTCAGAAAGTTGAGCTTCCCCACAAGTTGCCTATAGAGAAAAGGATCAGAACAAAAATCCCATGTATCTGCTGTCAGACTGAGTTTCTGAGGCAAAGGAGTTTTAGCAACCTTAGAAACATCAAGACCAGACTGAAGCAATAATTCCTTAGAAAATTTTCTCTGAGTGAGAACAATCCCATGGGCCAGATGTAGCACTTCAATGCCCAAGAAATAATGTAGTTTCCCCAAATCTTTGATACTGAAAATAGAATTGAGGTGTTGTTTCAACTCCAAAATTTCAGCATCATTAGTACCAGTAATAATAATGTCATCAACATACACAACAATGATGATGAGATCATTTTCAGTATGTTTCAAAAACATAGAGCAATCATTCAAGGACTGCTTGAATCCTTTGGCCTATAACTCAACTGTGAGCCTTGCATACCACTGCCTTGAAGCTTGTTTAAGGCCATAGAGATATTTCTTCAGTTTATAGACAAGATTATCAGGGTTAGGCATCCCCTCTGGCATTTTCATATAAATTTCTTCATGCAAATTCCCATGAAAAAATGCATTGTTGATGTCCAATTGATACATATTCCAGCCTTCATGTGCAGCCAATCCCAAAAGACATCTTACATTGGCCATCTTTACCACTGGTGAGAAGGTCTCATCAAAATCAATGCCAAATACTTGAGTGTAACCCTTGGCCACCAGTCTTGCTTTCAATCTTTATATGGTCCTATCTGATTTAAGCTTCACCTTAAATACCCACTTACACCCTATGGCTTTCTTCCCTTTTGGAAGAGAACAAAGTTCCCATGTTCCATTTCTTTCCAGGGCTTCTATCTCCCTCTGCATAGCATCTATCCACCCTTGATCTTGAGATGCTTCAAAATATCTAGAAGGTTCAGAAATATTTGCAGATTGAGCTATATGAACCTGAAATACAGAAGAAATATTTGTATACTGCACAACATTACACCAATGAGCAGTTGCAGTAACATAGTCTTTGTACCACACATGAGTCTTATGAGGTCTTTGAGACTGTCTTACAGGTGGAGGAGTAGAAGCAAGAGAAGGTGATAGAGGTTCAGGTGGAGAAGGAGGTGTATGAATGTTAGTAAAATGTGTTGTATCTGTGGTAAAAAGAAAAGGTTCAGGAATAAGTGTTGGGGAAACAGATGTGTTTGGTGTAGATATGGGTAAGAAAATAGGTTGAGGTTTATTATGGCCAGGAAAATGGTATGGTAAATGTTTTTCATGAAAATACACATCCCTATAAATGACAAACTGTTTTGTTTCAAGGTTCATGACTTTATAAGCTTTTTGGTTTGGGGGATAACCAAGAAATTAAAGACACAAGGTACAACTCTAGTGTCTAATTTGCTTCTCTGAGACTTGATGGTTGAAACATAACATAGGCACCCAAATACCCTTAAATGATCTAAATGAGGTTTAACTCCAAACAATTTTTCATATGGTGAACAAAAACCAATAGAACTGAGTGGCATCCTGTTAATCAAGTGAGTGGCACACAGTAAGAATTCTCCCCAAAGATAAATAGGAACATTAGACTGGAAAAACAAGGCCCTGACAGTCTCAAGCAAATGCCCGTGCTTTCTCTCAACCACACCATTCTGCTGTGGTGTACCAGTACAACTGGTTTGATGAACAATGCCATGTTTATTATAAAATTGTAAAATTGGACCTTCACAAAGTTCCTTGGAATTATCAGATCTAATACACTTAATAGAAGTGTTAAACTGATTATTTACCATTGCAAAAAAAAATTCTATTACAGGAACAGCAACTGACTTGGCTTTCATAAGAAAAGTCCAAGTATGTCTAGAAAAATCATCTACTACAGTCAGAAAATAAGAACAACCATCATGAGTGGGTATTTTATAAGGACCCCAAGTATCTATGTGAAGTAACTCAAAGCAATGAGATGACTTGATACTACTGACTGGAAAAGGAATTCTAGTTTGTTTGGCCTTAGGACAAACTTGACATATAGTATCCTGACCAGAATAATGTGACACATGACTAAGAGCATGATGAATTTTATTAAAAGGTAAATGCCCCAATCTGAGATGCCATAGCTTAGCTTCCTCAGAATTACTCAACTGTACAGCATCAGCAACAAGATTATCACAATGCTTCGTACTGGCAGTATATTCTCCATTCACAGCATATAAACCAGACTCCAATTTACCAAGAACAAGTGTAATATTCTGGGAATGATCCTGAATGAGACAAGTATCATGAGTGAATTTTATTTCACAGTCAAGATCTTTACATAATTTATGTGTACTGATCAAATTTAAAGTGAAATATGGAACATGAAGAACATTCTTCAACTCTAAGCCATTCTGAAATCTGATATTTCCAATATTTTCAACTTTCACATGCTTTCCATTAGCAACAGTAATTGTGTTAGGTGATTTATTAAATTTTTCATAAGAATGAAATAGATCAATATTGCAGCAAATATGATCAGTTGCACCATAATCAATGATCCATTTAGAATTTGAACATGAAAGTAAACAAGTACCTGCCATGTGAGCTGAACTGTGATTTGAGTACACAAGATTCTGTGTGTTCTCTGATGCAGGATTGGATGTGTGTTGACTCAACTGTGAAGCATTCATCACCTCCATCATCTTACTGTATTGTTCAGATTAGATATGAGCAGTTTCAACTGCCTGATAAGAATTATCATCAACATCATCACTATAGACAATTGCTGCAATTCTCTTGCCTTTGTTCTTAACAGCAGAATTAGAATTAGGATAGGCAATGATTTTGAAGCATCTATCAACTGTATGTCCAGTCATCTTGCAGAAGTCACAGAAGAGAGAAGAAAATCTTCTCTGACCAGATGTACCCCTCCCAAGGTTATGATTATAACCTTGTTGAACTGGAGCAGATGTATTCCTGTTCCAGGTGTTAGGTGGATGATACTTAACACCAGGTCTAGGACCTGAAGATGAATCAAAACGCCTTGTATCAGCTGCAAAGGCCATAGTATTAGCTTGATACTGAGAATCAGCAAGTGAACTGACATTCCTTTGTTTCTCTTCCTGAATTAGAAGCCTATAAGCCAAGGAAACATTAGGAAGAGGTTGCATCATCAAGACATTAGTCCTGACATTGCTATATTTACCATCCAGCTTCATCAACAATTGTATCAACCTCTCTTCCTGCTGTTGGTTAAGAAATTGCTGAGTCAAATTACAAGTACAGTTTCCACAACTACAAGATGGGACAAGATTGATTCCAGAAATTTGATCCCAAACTGCTTTGGTTCCAGCAAAGAATTCTGCAATCATACTAGAACCTTGACTCATATCATGTAGAGTTTGCTGTATGAATATAACTGGGCACCTGAGCTCTGAGAATAACGATCCTCAAGATCTTTCCAGATCTCTCTAGCAGTACTGAAATAGAGAACGCTTCTAGCAATTCCAGGATCCAAAGAATTCAAAATATAAGCAATTATCATCGCATTACATCTATCCCAAGCTTGAGATTCAAGCAAATCAAAAGGTCTAGATAAGGTTCCATCTATAAATCCGAGCTTATTTTTAGCAGCAAAAGCAATTATCATACTACGTTGCCACTCATTATAGCAATCACCATTGAATTTAACAGAAACAAGAGGATTATCAGGATTTTCAGAAGGATGCAAGAAGTACACACTAGCAGGATTTGAGTTAAGAGACAGAGTATTTCCAGAATTTTCAGCCATAATCGAACAAATTCAAACGCAAAATACAGTAATCGAGAATCAACTCAGCAAAACAGATTCAAAATAGTGTTGAAAATAGAGAAATCAAACCGAAATTGCAGCGTAAAACGATCGCCTGCTCTGATACCATGAAGAAATATGAGATAATATGCAGAAAACTTGTTCAGCAAGATGAAGTTTTAGAGAGAGAAAAGATAGAGAATGTATTAAGGAGAAAAATAGAGAGAAGTATATTGTGAGCATTACAAAAGCATGAGCTCAGAATTACAGAAATATATAGTACTAAGCTATTACAAGGGTAATGATGTCAGCACTCATAACAAACTCGTGTCTAGGTTTGTTATAGCAGGAAGTTTCCAGAAGCAAGTTAGTTGTAAACCAACTTGATGATTTGGCAATCAGAGATACTGCTCAGGGAGGAAATAGCTGGTCATATTCCTCATCTTCAATACCATATAATTGTATGTTGAATTGTGAGCATTTTGATGACAAATGTATGTATTTTGGTTGAGAAATGAGCAAGTTATGTTATACCCATGACCTTTAGCACGAGCTTTTCAATGGAGGTTCCACCATTGTTATTCATTTCATCAAATAATTATACATTTATACATATCCTCAAACAAGTTATACATTTCCTCCATCAAATAATTTATATCCTCCAATCATACCGTTTATACATATCATCTACTAGCTGGATGGTATCCTCTATTGGCTATATGATATTATGACTGATGATATCCTTTATTGGCTACGTGATATCATATATGATTGTGCCTATGATATCCTTTTATTGGCTGGATGATATGCTCTATTGGTTAGATAATATCCTCTGTTGGCTATATGATATCATGGGTGGATGATATCCTCTATTGGATATATGATATCATGACGGGATGGTATCCTCTATTGGCTATATGATAACATTTACGATTGTGTCTATGATATCCTTTGTTGGGTGAATGATATCCTCTATTGGCTATATGATATTATGGCTAGATGATATCCTCTACCAATCTAGCCAATAAAGGATATCATCCAGCCAGTAGAAGATATCATCCAATCAATAGAGGATATCAAAAATCCGCTAGATGATATCATATAGCCAATAGAGGATATCATCCAGACATAATATCATATATAGCCAAGACTGACACAATACCTTCTCTATAAATTTTGATTACAATAGTCTTTACCCTACTATCAATCATTTTTTTTTTATGTTGAAAGAAAACCGGAAAAAAAAAAGATAAAAATGGTCAAACTTATGCGCTAAAAATTAAAAATATGGTGTAATAAAGTGTAAATGTATAAATAAAAAAAAAAAGATTGAAACACAAAGAGGGTATCGTAGTATGCTTAAATTTTAGTAGGTTTAGACATTTGTAACTTTAGTAGCCTTTGCGCAACAATTGAAATTATACATAATTAACTTACTACTGTATTAAAAAAAAGAAAAAAAAAAAACTGCTTGTAAGACCGTGTGTAAAATTGTCTCTACATATATAGTAAATGGAAGATAATGTAAACCACTCCTTAATCCTTGTCTAAATATCAATCAATGACATCTAAACCTCCTTTTCATTCTACTCTATTAAGTTTAAAGCCTACTCTATGAAATACACCA